CTCAGCCAAGCAGAAATTGAAGAAAAGAAAAAGGCTAAAGCACAAGCAAGAAATAAAAGAGAATCTGGAAAAGGACCTTCATATGCAGTGAGTAGAATCTAGCCAATAAATTCGACTTGGCACTAATATTGGAACACATTTCAAAGAGCCTAACGCATGAAATTTTCTCTCCAAAAAGTTTTAACTCTTCTTTCTGGGAATGACACAGATGAATGCTGTGGGAGATTGATCCGTTATTGCTGCTTCAGGGACTAATCTGTAAGATAAAAATAGCTCATTTGGAGTCTGATAAACATAGTTATCACTTAAAGACTAATTTGGCTTCTTCTGAACATTCCACAGAGTCTTTACATGTATACATTTTATTTGTGAATTTTTGAAAGTTCATGTATGAATTGAGATTTTCAAAAACCTGAATTTCCCAAAAAGCATGATTTTTAAAATATTAAAATAATATAATATTAAAATATTCATTTCCAAAGCCCTAGGTCAGTTATGATCACCTATTGTTTTGATGATCAAAATCTTCTAATGTTCTCTCTGGATTCTGTTCTTTCCCTTATCTAACTATTCTCCCTAACAGAGTTAGAATAAACCTACAAATAATGCATGAGCAACTACAGGATATATTTTAATCTCTTCTGATTTGGCTTCTTACTTGCATTCAAAGATTCATGTTCTGCTAGGTGCCATGTAGTTGTCTACTTGTGTTTCTTATTTTATTTTCACAGTCTGGTGTACGTATGTTCCAGTCCATTTATTTGCCTAGGCATATCTTGTTTATTCTTCACCAGCTAAATTATTTTTGTACTCTGGTATCTTCCTCAGTTTCTACAATAAGGTCTCATGGCCTGACCTTTGAGTTTTCAGATTTTCTTGCACATATATTCACTCTTATTTTATTCCGCTTAAAGTGTAATTTACTTGTTTATCTCCTCTATTATATTCTGACATTTTATGTCAGTTTCCATCTCTTATGAAATGTTTTTCTATTGTTCTTGAATTTAGTTTTACTTTGGAGAAAACAAAATTCTGAACTGAGGGGCTAGGTGATAGTACAATGGGGACAACCCTGGATTCAGATGGGAAAGATCTTGATTAACATTCCAGAACTTCCCCAGACACTCTCTTAAAATAAATGAATGCAAAAAAATTAAATACATAGGGTTTTTTTTTTTTTTAATTTTGTCATATGGTGCGTGCACTCACCAGAAAAAGACAGAGAAGGAAATCGAGAAATCACTCCCTCCCCCAGGGGGATGACCATGCTGCAAATCCTTTCTTTCCATTCTCCTGTTGGGTTTTTGGACACACACACAAGTGCTGGAATGATTTTCAAGCCACTGGGTCTGGGACTTGAACAGAGCAGCTAGCCATGTAGGAATCCAGCACCCTAATTAGAACACTACTGACAGTTCCCTGTATAGAAAATTGTTAAAAAAAAAAAAAAAAAAAAAAAATCCTGTGCTCATAGAGATATTACATCAGTTTCTGCCAGTGCAGATATTTGAATCTTCTGTTTTGAATAGAAGGAAAATACATATTCAACTTACTTTCTCCATCATGGTAGGAGCTTTGCAGTGAATACCGAAAGCTTGTGAGGAATGGAAAACTGCCTTGCACCAGAGAAAATGACCCCATCCAGGGCCCAGATGGAAGAATGCATGGCAATACCTGCTCCATGTGCGAGGCCTTCTTGTGAGTAGTACTGCAGCTGGGAAATGGGGGAGAGTTTTAGCCTTCCTACTTCATTTCTATGTTCGATCTTTATAGGGCCACATCAATAGAAAAATAAAAGATCCATGGAATACTATTCAGCCATTAAAAAACAACAAGTCTCTGGCATTTGCTAGAAAGTGAACGAATATGGAAGATATATTGCTGAGTGAAGGAAGTCGGGTTATGAAAGAGACATTGTGTGTCTCCAGTTAACATATATTGACTGTCCTCACTCTATGGTAGAGTCTGAAAGACTGGAGGACATACAAGCATTGGAAATGTTATGGACACTAGGGACAAAGTGGAAGGCGAGTGGAAGAGGGGAATAGTGTCGGAAAGGAAATTTGGGGAAAAAATAGGTAAAACAGTTGTGGGACACAGATATGGTTTATTTCCTGTTGATGATGATAATAGTAAATAGTATACTCAATGTGACTGTATGGGATGTATATCATCTGGATAAAGTCTCTTTATAATTTAAATGATGTATAGTGATTGAATGTATAAATAATAATAGTAATAATTAAAAAAAAGAATAGAATTAAAACATACTTAAAGGAACTGCCTGATTGGATAAATGTTTAAAAGCCATGTCCTCTGATGCTTATTAAGACTTGGGCATACATTCAGGGGGAGGTGGGGGGAATCATAGCCTTAAAGTATCCAAGATGTTTTTGTTTTTAATGTTGACAAAGGACTAGTTAGTTCCCAGTTGTCTTCATAGATGAAAGAGGCTGTTGTGCTGGTAGGTGAAAGCTCTGGACAGAGTCTGGATCAATGCTGAGAAGAACTTCCTAACAGTCTGAGTATTTCACAGGCAGAATGACTTCCCACTAGTTAAGGATGTTGGTAGAGACTTTACTGGAAGATTAAAGCAAAGGGTAGGTCATCACTGGAGATACATAGTGAGCACTGGAAGTTTAGAAAACTACTTCTGGACTAGAGTTTAAATCTCTAGTTTGCACTGTTAACTCTATGTCTTTGGGCAAGTTATGTGTTTTGTCTGTCAGTTTTCATATTTGCAAATAGTGCTTAGAATAACAGTTTGACTAAATGAAGTCATGAGAATTCCATGATATGAGCACAGGTTTTGGCATATAGTAAGAGTCATGCAAATATTAACTGTAATTATTAAATTGTATTTGAGATTATTTTCAAGCTAAAATGCTATGATTTTTACTTACCTCTTTTTAAATCACTCTCTTTTAGCCAAGCAGAAGAAGAAGAAAAGAAAAAGAAGGAAGGTGAATCAAGAAATAAAAGACAATCTGAGAATACAACTTCCTTTGAGGTGAGGGTACCTTCTCTAACAGGAGACATACGGACTCCAGGATCCACAGATGGCATTTAGCGGAGAACACATGAGTTCTCTGAAACTACATGAAACATTTGTGTAGTTTGTGTTTTTGTGTGTGCATATGCACATGTATATATGTGACTAGTTTTTGTTTGAAGGCCTTTTGCTTTGATCACTTACAAATTTCCATGCCACCAGTGTTAAGAATTATTCTCAATTAAGCCAGTTGGTGATCTATATTTAAGAACAAAACAAAACTAAGCTTCGGCTATTTTTGTAATCTGATGCAACCTATGTCCAACACTTCCAACCCCTATCTTTGATTTCACAGGAGTTATGTAATGAATACCGCAAGCTGAGGAAGAACGGACAGCTTCTCTGCACCAGAGAGAATGACCCCATCCAGGGTCCAGATGGGAAAATGCATGGCAACACCTGCTCCATGTGTGAGGCCCTCTTGTAAGTAGAGTCTCAGGTATTCTAAGGAAATAGGGGGTGGGAACTGCCATGAGAAGTTTTCAGACAACTGTGAATAATGCATTTTCCTGTTCACTGGAACATTCAGTTTTAGGTGTCACATATAGATGGACTCAAAAACATACAACAAAAAAGGAAGTGTAAAGCTTTTTAGATTTTAACTCTCATGATATAAACGGATACAGAATAAACCAGACATACACAAAACAAACACCCATGATGTCACTTCGATATGAAACATAATAAAGTTTTATTCATAGAAGTGGAGAGTAGAATGGTGGCCAGCAGGAGCTTGTTTCAACTTGGTTTTCTTTTCCTCTACATTAATCTTTCAGCAATAAGGAAGAATTCTGCCACCTAGTGGCCAGCTCTGTTACCTTTTCTAGTCATTACCCCTTGAGAAAGAAAAAGATTAATTTTTAGTTGTTTTGTTTTTTCTTTGTTTTGTTTTTGTTTTGCCATAGGGTGCATGTGCTCACCGGACAGAGACAGAGAGAGGGGAAAGTGAGAATTTTTTAATCAAGTTAGACTTGTGGTAGTTTAGATCTGTTTTTATACAAAGAGGATTAAAAAAAAATTCCACAATTTTAATTCTAACTTTGTAAAGTTTTCACATACGTATAGAAAATCTCTATCCAAAAGAAATTTTGATCACCTCATAATTTATCAACATGTTTCTTTTCTTTCTTTTCTTTTCTAATTTGCTATAGTGTGTGTATGCTTGAGAAAGAGAGAGAGAGAACAAGAGAAAGCACTTCCTAGGGGGAATGGCCACACCACAATCCCTTCTCCTCCCTGGATTTTGGGCATGCATACACACACACCCGGCATGTTTCTCAAGCTGCCAGGTTCAGGACTCTAACTAGGCTGTCACCCGTGGGGAATCCAGACTCCCAAACCTCTGTGCCACCAGTTAGCCTGCTTATTGACTTTCTTGAATAGCAGGGTTTTTCTCCCATAGTCATATCCTGCCCACTTTCATTTCTTGTGAAAACAGTTTTTTCAAATTTTCAAAAGTTTTAATTTTATCAATAAGCAAGTTTTATGTCATTTGGCACAAATCTTCACAAATTTGGTACATTTAGGTCTAACATGATTGAATTGTTTTATATATATATATATATATATATACAGTTATGTACAGATCCAGTCCATGAAATTTAATTTGCAACATTGTCAGTAATCCAAAATATTTTAGTAAAAGCTATCACTCTCTCACTTTGTTTCTAGCATGTCTATTTTTGGAAGGTTAATTTACAATGATGATAACAATGATGATGAAATTAATCCTTTATATCACTTATACTTATCACTTTATTATGTACAAGGTACTGTTCTAATTGCTTTGTATGTATCAACTCCTTTACTATCCTAACATTCCTGTGAGAGGAACACCTGTCCTATTCCGACCCCCTTCCCCAAAGTTGGAAGGCACAGAGAGTTTAAAGCACTTCTTGTTTTCCTTATACAGCCTGACTTTCCTTTTTTTAAAATTATTTTTATTCAAATATTTTATTTGCACACCACAATCCCTTCTCCTCCCTGGATTTTGGGCATGCATACACACACACCCGGCATGTTTCTCAAGCTGCCAGGTTCAGGACTCTAACTAGGCTGTCACCCGTGGGGAATCCAGACTCCCAAACCTCTGTGCCACCAGTTAGCCTGCTTATTGACTTTCTTGAATAGCAGGGTTTTTCTCCCATAGTCATATCCTGCCCACTTTCATTTCTTGTGAAAACAGTTTTTTCAAATTTTCAAAAGTTTTAATTTTATCAATAAGCAAGTTTTATGTCATTTGGCACAAATCTTCACAAATTTGGTACATTTAGGTCTAACATGATTGAATTGTTTTATATATATATATATATATATATACAGTATATATATACAGTTATGTACAGATTCAGTCCATGAAATTTAATTTGCAACATTGTCAGTAATCCAAAATATTTTAGTAAAAGCTATCACTCTCTCACTTTGTTTCTAGCATGTCTATTTTTGGAAGGTTAATTTACAATGATGATAACAATGATGATGAAATTAATCCTTTATATCACTTATACTTATCACTTTATTTTGTACAAGGTACTGTTCTAATTGCTTTGTATGTATCAACTCCTTTACTATCCTAACATTCCTGTGAGAGGAACACCTGTCCTATTCCGACCCCCTTCCCCAAAGTTGAAAGGCACAGAGAGTTTAAAGCACTTCTTGTTTTCCTTATACAGCCTGACTTTCCTTTTTTTAAAATTATTTTTATTCAAATATTTTATTTAGTACTGACTCTGCTCGTAACCACCATTTATACTGTCTCTCAGAAGCCAAATTCTACCAATTTATAAAGAGCTATAGATTACCAGTGTAGAAGAATCAGCAAATAAAGTATTTTCATAGGACATATGCTAGAGAATTAGGCTCACTGATCACTTACGGCGCTTTCTCTTGCACCATTCTCTTTTTTTTTTTTTTTTTGAGAGGTTCTTACTATAGGGCATGTGCGCTCACCAGACAGACAGAGAGAGACAGAGAGACAGAAAGCGAGAAATCAACCCCCAGGGGGATGGCCACACCACAATCTCCTCTCCTCTGTCCTCCTCTCGGGATCTTGGGCACGCATGCACACACACCCAGTGTGAGTTTCAAGCCACCGGGTCTGGGACGCAAACCGCAGTCGACTACGTGGGAGTCCAGCGACATAGCCATTACGCTAACTGCTGGTCCCCTCTTGCACCATTCTCTTGAGGTGAGGTTAGCTATTCTACTTCATTAGCTAATAGAATCGCAAAGAACTATGGGTGGATTTTTGGTGTTGCCTAAGAAAAGTCAAAACAATGAATGATCAACCTACCAATGTGAAGGATCTACTGTATTGTGTGAAGATCTATTTCTTCTTATATTTTTCCCCCTTTTCCTTATAGTCAGCAAGAAGAAAAAACAAAAGCAAAGGCTAAAAGAGAAGCTGCAAAGGTAATTTACTCAGAAAGCCGATGCTATGCCATCACTTTTTCTTTCTCACCTTTGGTTTTCTTTCTTCTTCTTTCTCTTTTTCTCTTTTTTTTCTTTCTTTCATTTTTGTCTTCTTACAATAGCATTCTAGTTATTTCATGATGTGCACAAATATTTCCTGTTTACTTTTCGTGACAGAAATGAAGAAAGAAAACTTTAAATGTGAAAAATGATTACTCAAATTTTGGATTTTTTGGATTTGTTTCATAAAAACTGGTGTGTTAACGCTTCCTAAGAGAGTCCCCCCACATTTGGCTTTTATTCTATTTCTGTTAGGCACAGACTACTCACATTAACTTGTGCGTCTACTAATTTCAATTTATATCATTCACACTTTTATTTCAAATAGAGAATGCAAGATCTTAGTCACTCTGGTTTACAAAACAAAATGCAAATACATTGTTGTAATTGATCTTTGTGGTCACCCAGTTAAGGAGGAAGTACTAGTTTTTGTTTTTTTGTTGTTGTTGTTGTTGTTCCCAGGTGACGAAAACACTATTAAATAGGTCCTTTGACTTTCCAGTTATTTTTAGCTTATCCTCCATGCTTTTGTAATTTTATAATTTTATAGGTAGGAGAGCCAAATCCATTTGTACGTACAGGTTGGATTACTCTCATGTAAGAGCCATATACAAAATATATCTTCATTTATTATATATGTTAGCAATAGTTGCAAAAATGAAAACCTATTTATTATTTGTGAAAAGTTGACATTATTTAAAAGTTTACCATTAAACTGATTCATTTTCTTAATTGCTGGGATTCTGTTAGCTGGAACTATCTTATTTTCTTTTGATTTTATTATAAGGCTCATGTGCTTACTGGAAAGAGACAGAGAAAAAGAGAGAGAGAGAGAGAGAGAAAGAAAGCATCACTAACCCCTCCAGAGAAGATGGTCATATTGTAACCCCTTCTCCATTTCTTCTCTTAGGATTCTGGGTATATACGTGCACTCACCTGGCATGTCTTCCAAGCCACCAGGTCTGAAAATCAAATTATGGAGCAAGCCATGTGGAAGCCACTTTAACCAACATGCCACTGGCTGGGCCCTGGAATTATTATTTTTTTTTAATTCATAATTCGTAATTGCAAGTTTATTTCATCTGTTATATTTGATTAGTTACCAAATGCTCTCAGATTTTTTTCCAGTGGTCCTAACATTTAACTTCTTCTTGCCATTTCTATTGTTACTCTCCTGCTTTAAACCACATCTCTGAATCCCAGATGGGAATCCACTCCCAGTGAGATGTCACTTCATGCTCAGAAAGATGTCATTTGCCTCAGGGATTATATTTGTTCTATCTTCCATCTATAAAGATTTATCTTTATTTCTTGGTTTTAGCACATTTGTTTTTCTTTTCTCTTCTTTCTAATTCTCTTAGAGACAAACTATCATTCAGCAATAATCTGATATACCAACAAGGTCTCTCTTCTGAACTTATTGGATCTTCTCATCTTTCACCTTTCATAGCTTTTACAGACTGTGTGGTTCAGACATAACACAAATGTACGTTTTCTATTGGTCTCTACCAATGTTGACACCCTTTTTGGGCATTTTGATTATAAGCACTCTCAAGAAGATAATGACGGTAAATATTTATAGACTTGCAATAGTGCCAGGGAAATTCTGATTTTTTGATGCCAGCTTCATAAATACTAATTTTCTTCTACATGCCATCATTTTTTCTTTTTACTTTTTACCTTGAAGTACTTATCACTTATTTTTCATAGCAGAAAAAAATTCATAAAAAGTATAAAACTGCTTTAAAAACATTAAAAAATTTTTTTTCCAGGAATCTTGCAGTGAATTTCGGGACCAAGTGAGGAATGGAATGCTCATATGCACCAGAGAGAATGATCCTATCCGTGGCCCAGATGGCAAAATGCATGGAAACAAGTGTGCCATGTGTGCAAGTCTGTTGTGCGTACCCATCCCACCTCTCCTACTGAATCTCTTTCTCACTGATCATGCTTGAATCTCAGACTTGCTCTACATGTTTAGAGTATTTACTCTCAGTTCCATGCTCGAAAATCTTAAAAGCAAATGGACAAGACATTAGGTAACACTGGATATTTTGGTGATCATATTGTTCCTCATTCAGTGATCCTTCTATCTTATGATTAAGTCAAGAGGAAAGACTTGTGACTTAATGATATCTTTAATATTTGATCATCTTCATTCTTAACAAAGAGAGAGCAGAGTTTCATGACCTAGATTGGTTGATTTCTTTGGTCTCTCTTATCCTCCTGACATTGCATGATTCTCTGAGTATATTCAGATATGGGTTAAGGGAAACTATCTAGACAGAGATCTGCAGGGCTCATATGTAAAGATTATCAAAATAGGGGCTGGTAGGTAGTATGGTGGTTAAGATGCTGGATTCCCACATGACTGACCATGGTTAGAGTCCCAGACCTGGCAGCTTGGTTTCTCACTGTATCTCTGTGTTTCTCTCTGGTCAAATTAAATTTAAAAACATATTAATGAAATAACCTAAGAACTAGAGAGGAGTATATTTATCGTCTCAGGGACAGTACTTATATAGATAAAACATATACTTCAAAAAGTAACTTAGTGTAAAGTGAGGGCAGGCTCATATTCTCGATGTTTACTAAAATGTCTTCTTGCTAAGCCAAGTTTATGGCCTTCTAAACCTTTGTTTTTCTTACTGGAATAGTTAAGCCTGTGACAAGAGTTCCACGGTTTGGCAGAAGATAGGAGAAATTAAATATCACCAGTTCTAATTTTCCTTGTTGATTCCCTAATCCACCTTTGAATTCTCCTCTAAAGTAAATATTTAGAAAAATATTTAAATAATATAATTCAAAGTTATTGTCTCTTGACATTGACATTTTGATCAAACTTAAATTATATGCACATATGAAGCTCCTTAAAAGGAGAGACTGACGGTGTAAGGCAGAAACAATGACTTGAGAGTCAAGAAATCAGGGTTTTCCCCTTACCTGTTAAATTTGCTGGTGCTATAGTAATAACTAGATAGAGTGAATGCTAAGGACTTTCTATTTTGATATGCTGCATGTCAGTATAATGGCAAAAATACAAAAATACTAGGCTTATGTCAATCTCAAAATTTGCTGTTAAATTCTACTGGACTTGAATCACTCTTGCAATCCCAAATTCACATTTCAGCTAAGACATTAACTCAACTAAGATAATATTTACAATTTTTACTTTATCTTGTAATTATGGTTGCATTAACTGACTTGACATCACCCTTTACTCTCTTCATTGACTTGCAGTTATTTGGACAGGAAAAGTTTCATGACTTAGAAATAGTCTGCACAATTGTAGTTTCTTTTACTTCATTGATTGAAGTCAGTGACCTACAGAAAATGAGAGCACCTGAGAACCACACACTGGTGACAATGCATGCTTGTAGTATTATTATTCTTACTTAGAGGGAGAATTTAATAACTGAATTTATCTGCATTATTAGCTAAACATATAGCCCCTCTTGAATGGCTGTATCAGTACTGAAGACTGAATCTGACCTTTGGTCTGGAATATTCTCATTCTTTCTTAAAACATGCTGCCAAAAGGAACAGAGATATGGATTCAGTCTATTTTTTTTTTAATTGCAGCAAACTTGAAGAAGAGGAGAAGAAAAATAATAATGAAGAGAATAAGGAAAAAATTGAGGCAGACAAAGTGAAAAGAGAAGCAGTACAGGTAATTGTTTCAGATCATCAGAGTCTTGTCAATAGTTGGTGATCATTCTTCCTAGACAAAGGTCCTACTCCCTCCGAATCCCAGTGTCCTTAGTAGCTTTGAAAACTGAGAAAATGTATTTGGATTCTCGTGTGAATGAGGGCCTCTTCTTCCTTATTCAGTTTATTCACCACAAATCTTATCTAGTTACTCATGAATTAGAAGATCAACCAGGTGAGTCATGATCCAAGAGAAAAGTGTGTACGGTTGTCATCTTGTCTGAAAGTAAGCCAATAGGGGCAGGTGTTAAGATTTTGTTCAAGTGCCTTTTTGAATAAAGCTGTTTAGTTAAAAAAACAATTCTGGGATTTATCCCAATTAATTCTTTGTAAGATATTGAGGAAATCACTTAGGACCGTCTTTGAGTCTTGCTTTATATTCTGTAACATCTCACATGTAAAGACAATGACAATATGATAGTGATGGCTATTAACTATTTAGTTGTTACTATATGCCTCATGGTATAAAAATATTATGACTGATCTTTGTATTAGCCAACCAGGTATGCATTATTTTCTATAGTTTATAGAAGAGGACCTGGAGATGAAAATTTAAGAAAAACATTTTATTAGTAACATATATAATATAATTATAAATAATATTATAACACAGTATTTATTAATGCATTATAAATATCATCATATATGTTATAAATAATATGTTATAGTAGCCCCCACTCCCTTATCTTTGGTTTTACTTTAACTCATAAGCTACTGTGGTCTGAATATAGGTAAGGTACAACAAAATATTCTGAGAGAGAGATTACCTTCACATAACTTTTATTATAGTATATTGTTAAAATTGCTACAGTGGTTTTTTTGTTGTTGTTGTTGTTGTTGTTGCTATCTCTTACTGTGCCAAATTTACAAATTAAACTTTATCATTGGTATGTATGTCTGGAATAAACAATATATATGGGTTTTGTACTATTTATGGTTTTGATCATTCACTGGGGTTTTTGGAATGTATCCTTAGTGGATTGGGGGGGCTATACTATATATAACACATTTATAATTATACATAGTTATTAATTTAAGAGCTATCAATTGAACTATGAGTTCTGAAATGAAGTCCCACGATGCACTTTAGGTTTTAATGTTTAGCCGATTCTTAAATCCACCTTCATTTGGCAGGAGCTGTGCAGTGAATACCGTAACTACGTGAGGAATGGGCGGCTCCCTTGCACCAGAGAGAACGACCCTATTGAAGGTCTAGATGGGAAAATCCATGGCAACACTTGCTCCATGTGCGAGGCCTTCTTGTGAGTAGATCGTCAGCCACTGCTGCTGCTGAGAGGGAGGACGTAGAAGGTTTTCCTGAGAGTAGACACTGAAGGCTGTCTTTGCACTGAGTCCAGCCCTTTCTTATTGTAGAACCACATACTTAGCACTTTTCATTCTAGTGTTTTCCAGGGATCTGAAAGGTACTCAAATCACCATCACAGGTGGACCATTTGCTAAGGTCAAATTACCCCAGAGTTAACACCATAAAAAGAGGAGGTCCCGGTCATTAATACTCCAAGGGTGTAATCATTCAGTGCTAACAACCTAAACATGTGTTAACATCTAATAAAAACCTGTGGCTTTCTGGGGAGGACAATATCCTTATTTCTAAAAGAAAGATAAAAATGAAAAATGATTTACTGGTTTGCCATGGCACATGCGTCTTCATCTTTTAGCAACATTGGAAACAAGAACAGTGATAGGGAGGAGTACACACTGACGTTTGCACTCCCTAGCTAAGTTGGTAGACGTGGAGAAGTAATGAAATATTTGTATGTAGAGAGATGATTTTTTTTCCTTTAGGATAATATATATTGAGTTCTAGAAATAATTATTCTCTCCATACCGTCTCTTACAGCCAACAAGAAACAGACGAAAAAGAGGCTGCATCCAGAGCAAGAGCCAAAAGAGAAGCTAACGAGGTTGTTGTCCTTCCTGGAATGTTCATACTGTAATAAAAAGTGAAGTTTGGCAGTTTCTCTATAGGAATAACTCAAAGAATTATGGAAGGCTTTAGCTGGGAGGGATCTCAGGGTTCATTTAGTCCAGCAGTTCACAAAGTTTTTCTTATTTTAATTTGAATTTGCTAGAGAGAGCATGTACTTGTTAGAGAAGGAAAGAGAGAGAGAGAGAAACAAAACACAACACAAAGCAAAACAAAACAAAACAAAACAAAAACATGAGAAAACACCCCTGTGGGGTCACACAGCAATCCCTTTTCCATTTGATCTTTCAGGAATCAGAGCATGCTTGCACACATGCCCAGTGTATTTTTCATGCTGCTTGGTCTGGGACTTTAACTGTACACTTCACCATGTGGGATCCAGCCTCCTCAACCACTGTTCCACCAAAAGCCTTCAAACTTTTTCTTAAAGGGCCAGATAGATGATAGTTTTGGGTTTGTGGCAATAGTTGCTTTTACAACTGCTCTTTGCTGGCGTAGCTCTAAAACAGTCATAGATTATGTGGAAACAAATGGGCATAGCTGTGTTGTTTTAACATTTTATTTATAAACACAATATTTTGCTCAGAGATGGCAAACCCCAGTTTACTCCATTCCCATATTTTAAAATGAATATTGAAAATCTAGAGAGAAAATTAGAATTTGCTTACAAAGTTAGTGGGAAGATTCGTAACAGTTTCTATACCATCATATTTCAAAGTTCTTACAGTTGAAAAGTGGGAACAGTAGAATTCAAACTTAGACCTTCTGACTCCAAATCTAGGGTTCTTCTCAATACACTTTGTGTTTTTGCAACACCACATTTGATCGAATTAGGTTTGTGTTTCTTGCTTCTCCTTTGATTATTTCTTTACTATCTTCCATGTGAGAAAAAAATAGTGTCCCCAAATAATATTTTCCTGAGTTCAGAAAAGTGACTCTAGATAGATTATTCCAGGTTTGGTCATTTTCCTGCCCCTACCATAGACAACTGATACTACAAATGATCTATAAACAGGCATCGTCATTCTTCTATATGACTTACTATATTTGTTTTTGTTTTGTTTTATTTTTTAGAGAGGTTGTTTTTGTTTTTGTTTTTGTTTTTGTTTTGTTATAGGGTGAGTGTGTTCGCTGAAGAGACAGACAGAAAGTGAGAAATCACCCCCTCTTCTCCCTTCTTCTTTCAGGATTTTGGGCATGCATGCACATGTGCCCAGCATGTTTCAAGTTGCTGGGTCCAAGCCTCAAACTGTGGTCAACTATATGGGAGTCCAGCAATGTAACTATTATGCCATCTGCTGGTCCCTATGATTGACTTGTTTCCAGCTGTATTGCACAGTATCATAAATTTCGATAACAACTAATAAAAATATTAGGTCATGGAAAAGTTATGATGTGTTTTTCTATGCTTTCTATGGCAAAAATGCACCATGACAACCCAATAATTATATGAAAAATACTCACTTTTAACATCTATAAAAGTCTTCAATATGAGACTATTTCTGATTTCATATTAGCTACTACAGACAAACCATTTTCTCATATCATATTTCTTTTGCAAAATACAAACAGTTAGGTAAATCTGGGCGTGATCTTTGAAGCAAAGTTAGGGAAAAAAGTCACTTTGTCATTCTCATTGAATTTCAAATTGAGCTAAAGGATTCAGGGAAAAAAAAAAAAGCAAAATCAGTCCTAATTACTACAAGTAATTAATGCTATAATCTTAAGTACTTTGCTTATTATCTCTGAATTCCACATGTAACTCTGGAGTTAAAAATTACTGACTGCTTTTTAAATGTTAGTCACTGTGCATACATTTGCATATATTATCTTACATTATTCTCCCAACAATCTGGGACACATATTGAATACTTAGTACATATTGGTCATTATTGTTTTAACTACATAAATAAGATGCTGTTATTATTCTATCTTATAGTTAAGGTTTATGAAGCACAGAGATATGGATTAGTGGTAGAATTATAACTAATAATATGATATATTAATGTCTATCAACATGCTAGTCTTGCCAATCATATTGTACTTGCAACATTATGCTACATTTTTAAGAAAAGAGAAAGAATCTAGCATAAGAAATAGTGTTGATATCATATAATAAGCAGAATTCTAAGGATGTGGCTACATTTAGTACTTACAAGAGCAAATAGTAAGGTATAAGAGAAAGACAAGAAAGCTTTCTCAAAAAATTTGAAGGACTGTCATCTGAAAGAAGAAAAATATCCTCAGTTTTTCTCAGAAGAATAAAATACTTCAACTTTGCTTGCTAGTCCGAAGAAACACATTTATCCTATTCTTTTATAGCTAAGTTCTTAAAAAAGGGGTGCTAGAGGATTCATTGAAGGTATTTTCCAAGGTACCCTAAAAGTAGTAGTAAGTCTACTTTGTGGGAACTATCCTGTAGAAATTTTGAAATGGGCTGTCTGGAAGGTAATGAAGTCATTATTACTGCAGGCGTTCCAACAGAAATTGGATGACTTCTTGGCAGGCATGACGTAAAAGGGATTAGAGATAGAATGGCTTTTGAGGTCATATACAAATCTGAAGCTTTTTTGATTTCAAGGCATGTGCAATGTTCATTGTATTATAATAGACATAAACACTAAAAGCTGAGTTTATTAAGAAAAACTCTTGTATAAGTGCAGATTCTGTCTGGATTTTGGAGAACTAAATCAAGAATAATGGGCACAAGCGACTTTTCGAGTCCTGCATGTTTAGTAGGAAATGTACAATACAATTGCCAGAAGAAAGTTTTTCAGTTCATCTTCTCTTTTTTACCAAGAAGTCTTTAGTAAGAATCCAACAAACTCATTTCTCTGCTCTTTTTCCTTCTTTTAGGATGCATGCAATGAATTTCGGAGTCTTTTGCAGAATGGAAATCTTTTCTGCACACGAGAAAACGACCCTGTGCGTGGCCCAGATGGCAAGACCCATGGCAACAAGTGTGCCATGTGTAAGGCAGTCTTGTGAGTGCACAAATAAAGCTCTTTCCTTGGGTTACAAAGTCGGGATGGCAAAGGGCCCACAGATACATGTTGTGTTTATCCTTTCCTTACATATAGAGGAAACAAAAGATTATCCATAAATCATTCTGAGGTCAGTCTTGATTTGTAATAGCCAAGATTCACAGTTCTAGAACTAAACCATACATTATTAGGTTATTACATTATCTATCAGTAGATCACATCTTTCTTGATAACATTCTAAATCTTTTGCCATTAAATGGATGGATCCCTTCTCTGAAGTATCTTAGAATTCCCATTAGGAAGAAAACATACAGATTTTACTGTCATTCTAACTCCTCTACTTACACACACACACACACACACACACACATATAAACATACACTGCATTTCTCAAGCCACCAGG